TTGTCCTAGCGTTTGAAATGCCTGCAGACGTGATTTTTTTTGAAGTGGAGAAGGTGTTTGGACTTTTTGTGACGTGCAAAACATCGTATTTTCGGTGACCGTCGAACAGTTGGGAGTCTAATACCAAACACACAAATTAGAATAACAAATAACTGAAATTTTTAAACATAATCAAAACGAACTTAATTTTTGGTTTAAAGTTTTCACAATTGCATAGCCCCTTGACTTAGAGGCCCTAATTAATGCAACGTAATGATGTGCAATGTGAAATACATTTTGGAGGAGTGATTGTGATTTTCACGGGTTTAGAACGATTGGTAGCCACTAGTTTTAGGCGCCAGCTGTTTTTTCAAATTTCCAAACTTCACACACAAAGAGGTCTTGTTTTAGTCACCATGCACATAGGGTTAACTGACGTCGCATATATGAGGGGTGTATAGGTACTGTATAAATGCACTGCCGATCGACTTGAAAAAAAAAACCAAGTCATGCTTAGTATAAAATTATAATGTTCGATTATTTTGGGATCTCATACATAAATTATCACTGGTCTCTTTAATTCAAACGTTCTAGTGTCGTAAAATAATTTGTTTAAGTGTTAAAGTATCAATTTCTTTAATCTTCGGCCCTTAAATCTAACGTGATCTGAAATACTTTTCAATGATCTAGTAAAACACGATTTATCTAAACTTTTTACTTTCGTTACACAGACATGAATGCATATTAAGTCGAGAACCAAGAGAAACATTCCTTCACTGCTCTTCGAATTTCCTTGATTTTCTAGCAGTAGAGAACTTGACTCATCGACGAGTTTAGGTAAACTAAACATACGGCAAGTGCTTCGGCCAGAAAGTTGTAGCCCTTGAATAAGGATTACAACTGTCACACCAGAAAAAGGAAGATAACAGACAGCTAATGTAAGGTGAACCCAAAAAGCATTGATGACCGTCTTCTTTTATCGCGTCATGTTTGGCGAGGTTCCTGCTCTTTTCCCTTCTAATTCATCCCGCAGCTGTAATTGTTGACGTGGAATGGTGCAAAATATTCCGGAGTAGGAATACGTTGAAATAATCAGCTCTAATGTTATCAATACTGTGCTTGAAAGGAGGTATGATATCGTGTTCCAAAGGTAAAGTAGGCCGAGACACAATTTCTTTTCATCCACATAAAAAGGACGACCGTGCGAGTTCTATTGACAATTACAACTTGCCCATATGTTATCCCTAATAACAGGGCGAGGAGTCTATCCACTGCAATGGAGGTCAGTTTCGCCAGAAATGCACCAGAGAAAATCATGGTCACACATATGCTGAATATTTTGAAGTGCGACCAGAATCACAAGGTTTTCCAAAGTCGCTGTTACAGACAGAACAACATATAAGACGGCAAGAAATGTATAAAACTGAACGAGTCTTTGCCATCCCAATGTCGACTGCAAAACAACTCAGACCTTGCAATCGATTTACTTAAATTCAACATAACTTGCCAGGCACCTCTCAGGCAGGTCTTGAACCAACGGGTTGAATTGTTTCTTTCCCCATGCTGGAAAAATAGTGTAGACTCTGCTATTCAGCTATAGTTCAAAATTTCTTGAGTGAAAGATTCAATTGTGGCTTTCATAAGAGAGGTCTGTCTAAAACATTGTCAACAGAAATCAACAAAAATCTGAACAAGAAATCGAATCGCAAACCAATGGGTTTCGGGGCTTGATGCTCTACCTCTCAGCCACAGAACAATGCGTGCTGCGTCACATTACAAATTTGCGATTATTACAAATTTGGAACGATCGGCTACGCAAAGAGGTGTTGTTTTAAGTACCTTTATGTAGAGTTGATTGACATGGCATATACATGAGGAATATTTCAATAATTATTTCAGATTTAAGTTCTGCATAAATGCACTGCGCATGCCGAGCAACAAAAATCATGTCATTCTTTGTATCAGCCACGATCCTTATTTAATGTTTCTTTGAAATTCTAAAATTCTAATTATCGATTAATTTGGGAACTTCTATTACAGTCACGATCGATTGCATGAGTTTCAAGTAAGATTTTTTTCCCGATGCGCTCGGGTTCCCCGGGTGATAAATTATGATTGTCTCTTACATTCAAACTTTCTGATGCCCGTCAAGAGAAGATAATCTCTTGTGTCCGCTGAATAATTTTCTTCAAGTGCAAAAGTATGAATTTATTGAATCTTCGGCCTTAAACAAATAATCGCCAAACTCTGCCCCATTTATCAGACCTTTTAAATCTTCGAATGACATTGCAATTGTTCATTACGAAAGGAGGAAGTTCTTGCATGACACCCTCAACACATTTGTGTACTGCTCTGAAAGGTATTTTGTTCTTTATATTCATTACCGTGACATCCAGTTTGCAATCAAAACCGCATCTTTTCCAAGCCAATGAGAAACCTTTACTATGCTTGACTATTTAAAGAAACCAATAATATCAGGGGAAATGAAAGACAAATTTTGCAACTTTTTACAGACAAGCTCAGTACTGAATCAATAAACTATTTGTACATAGTTACTAAAAAATCCTGTATTTGAGGAACTGAATTTTGCGATTTCAAAATGGATGTAATAAAGTGGTCACTATCTTCGTGATTTCAGACCACATTGTACTCCGCTCAGTTCAATCAACATTACTTATTATTACTGTTTTCCTTCACGAGACAGTTATAATATTGTATTGTGAGATGTAGTAGTTACCAGAACGACAAAATATAATTCTGATATAGACATATAACTATTTGGGCAGGCACTGTCAGCTCGCCTATCATCCGTTCTCTTTATTGAGCCATGTTGAATAACCACCAAAAATGTTCAGAAACATCACCCAAAGTAAGATATTCCATTCGCTCTTTAGTGCAAAGAAGTGAGACTCGTACCACTATATAAATTCTTCGAATGAAATGGGTACACTCCCTTTGGGCGAAATCTTGCAAGGTCCACTACAGTCATTTAGAAGATCATTCACTCCAATTATCTAGTGAAACAAGGTTTCGTTACGCATACTGTTATGTACATCAAGTTTACACGGATATAGAAGAATAAAATTATGTTACAATTTCTTCACTGCTCTTCGATTTCGCTTAATTTTCCGACTGCTAATATAAGGTGAACACACAAAGCGCTGATGACCGTCTTTTCAAACCGCATCATGTTTGGTGAGGTTCCTTTTTTTCCCCTGTCAGTTTACCCTGCACCGGTATTTGCTGACTTCGAATCACATGAAAGATTCTGGAGAAGGAATACGTTGAGATCATCAGCTCTAATATTATCAATACTCCACTTGAAAGTAGGTATGATATCTTTTTACAAATGTAAGTGAGCCAACCACAATACTTTTACCCGTATTGACAGGTCGCAAACTCTCGATAGTTGCAACTTGCCTGTATCTCGTCCCTGTTAACAGGGCGAGGATCGATTCTGTACAACGAAACACTATTAAGGATAAAGGAACATGTAAGACGGCGCGTGGAATTTGTAAACTGAGTGAGGTAATCTTCTCCAATCCAATGTCGATTATAAAACAAATTAGACCTAGAGATTAAGCTACTTAGGTTTAACATAGCTTTCAAGATACCTCTCATACAGGTCTTAATTAAAATTGTGTTTAAAGGTTTCGTTGCCAGCATAAAATAGGGTCAATTCTGCTGTTTAGCAACAGTTCAAAATTCTTGAGTGAAAGGGTCAAACGAGAGGTCTGTCCGAAACATCGCTAATTAAGTACTAGAGATTATAACTATCATTTCAAGCTGAGAGGAACTCCCTTATCACTTAGTTTTCACTGCAATACTCTCATTTATCAATTCATGCATTGTATTAAGCTGCCGGGCACCTTTTAACAATGCATGTTTACATGTATATGCAGCATTGAAATAAACACACATTGCTAGCGAAACGATCATTAACGAAAGTTTGAATACGTTTTTCACCAGTAGGGGACAACAATAACAACGACAACAAAACGCTTAAAAAGAAATCGAGTCCCAAATTTTTGGGATTTTAAAGTGTCAGCAAACGGAAAATTAATTTTCACCCCTCCAAACGTTAATCCTTTAAATACATAACAAGTTAACCACGCGCACTGAATACATATGCCATAAATTAAATATCTTCTTACATCGGCTGATTGAATTCTCACGAAAGGGCATCCGTTACTTTACCAAAATTAGTTTACAAGTTCGAATTCAATCTTTTTGAGACCAAATATTTTTTGCGTTATTTTTATATTTCGGAGGTTGAAGTAGCATTTCAGCTACGCGAAGGAGATCGATTCTTTGTATTTCTTTTTTTCGAGCATTATATTTTTATACTCGTTTTGAATTTATGTATTTCATTAATATTTATACGATAAACCAAATACATATTTATACGATAAACCAAATATTACATGTTCGATCGTGGGTACAATTTATCAAAACTCGTACATAAATATTTGAATCCATGCACTGCCATTAGAAATCTTTAGTGTCTTCTTAAGAACCCATTCATTCTGTTTTCTCCTTCGAATTACAGTGTCATTGACATAAATTTAAATTTGAGCAAGTGTGAGAGTCACTTGACAAGCGCAACAATGCTTACTAGCAGGCAATTACTAACAAAGTTCACTTTGCATAAATATGATAATAACAAAACGTTAAAACCATTTCTAAGGATGTTAAAATTAGCTGCGGAGAACTGACTTCAAAAAATCAACGTCCAAGCCAACAATATCTTGACAAATTGACAAAATGAACCTCTAAGTAAGATATGATTTTTAATCAGAAACCGTGCTTGATCAGAAGAGAAACAGAAGGTTGAAATCGACGCCTAAGAAATCGACACAGTAAAAATGAACGACACCCACACTTTGGGAAACCAAGGTAAACCGCTACCTTTGGAGGCAAAGATCGCTTTAGCGTCGTGGTTGGGTGTCGCAGGGTTACTGACAATAGCTGGAAATGGAATTGTCCTGTGGTTGATTTTCAGAAAAAGATCTCTAAGAACAATGTCTAACCTGTTCCTAACCTCGTTGGCCGCCGCGGACTTCTTAGTAGGACTTGTTATAGACCCAGTGTGGTTAGTGGTAAGATGTTTGGGTTATAATCCTAAAACCTACTTCGAAACCTTCGGTAGGAGTATAGATTATCTATGGATCCACACTACTGTGGCAACAACATTTAACTTATGCTGTGTTAGCCTGGACAGGTACGTAGCCATCATTCATCCTCTGCGCTACCACAATTTTCTCACCAAAAGAAGATGTTATTTACTGATAGCTGATGTATGGTTTATGTCCCTCGTTCTACCCTGCTCAAGGTTCATGGTTCAGGATAAAAAAGCTTTATCGACATTGTATCTATCTTTTACAGTTATGACAATATTATTTCCTATGTCTATAATAGTGTTCTGTTCTCTTCGAATTTTAAAAGTTGCTTTAGTACATTACAATAGCATAAAACCGACGAGCAGCTGTCCGCAGAATCAAGACGTTATTAGAAGAAGTAAAAAGAACTACAAAGCTGCTAAAACAGTTAGTATCATAGTGGGGCTATTTGTGGTTTCCTGGTTGCCGAGTCTCATCACTGGTTTGGCGCACTATTTCAGCAACCTAGTGTCTTACGACTCAGTTTACTACACTGTGTGGTTATCTGTTGAAACAGTGGCATTTACTTCATCGGCAATCAACCCATGGGTGTATTGTTTGCGAAACGACGAGTTCTATGAAGCATTATCACGCACATTTCGATTTCTTAAAAGACGATAATTTGGAAAAATGTTTCATGTACAACTCAGAGACTGCACAAACGTGTGGACATTTCTTGAAATAATGGCGTTTAATTGATCTGCAACCAACTCATGGCTTTATTGTTTGCATAACGACGAGTTCTATGAAGCATTATCACGCACAATTCGATTTCTTAAAAGACGGTAGACTGACCCTATGAAGTCATATCGCACAATGCAATAACTTTTTTGTTCAAAAAAGTAAAAGTAGCTTGGTAAAGTGGTAAGCTGTTTTGCCAACCATGAATATTGGTTGTTTTCATGGTTGGCAAAACAGCTGTTGGCTCTAAATTAAGTTTGTTGTCAAAACTCGAAGTGCTTGTCACTTGTCAATTGAAGAAATTTCCGTAAACCATTAAGCCTACAAATAATAATTTCCTAGTCAATTATTCTAAGTAAAGTCTTAATTCTAACAGCTAACTTTATATTTGGGTGGAATTAACTTGCGCTTTTCAGAAAAGTTTCCGGCGATTTTATCTTGTATAGGGTAGTTTTTGGGGACTTACGATAATGTCTATAATTCGTCTGGGTGCTGAAGCACTAGATGTATCACTACGAAACCTATCTTTGTTATTTCAATCAGTTATCTAGAAAAACTGCTACTTGTGAAATACCATGTGCAAGAAATACACGGGAAGCATTTATTACCTTTTAATTTGCTCGACAAAAAGACGCTTTCGTCACAAACAGATAATTATTCAGGTATAAAATAAATAAAGGGGAGCTGAGTAAACAACAAGTCAAAATCATGCGAAGAACGTTTGCTGAGTTTTAAAATTCAAATTTACCTCAGAGTGATATTGACAAGCACAAGCCGTGGGCGGTCGCTCCTCTTTCCTTTCGATAGTTTGTAGGATTCGTCAGAGTTTTAGCCAGAATTTAGAGCGTTTTTTGGGATCTACACTTGTTAACGATTTAGATTTTTCCGGCGATACTTCACTCAACTAAATTCACAAAAGGGGTAGTTAATGAGGTCAGAAAATATCTGTTTTGTGAACGGAGGTGTTTATCTGCGCTCGTACATGATCAGTGAGAATGATTTAAATAAATGAGAAAGATAAAAGGATCTTTAGTAAAACATGACTTATAGCAGGTGAATTTTAGATTCCCACTAATGATATGTGCTTTTATAAATTGATCATCAGATATCATGTTGATCTAAAAAACGCCATTCATATGGCACCAGCATTACCAAAGAAATTGCAAGAAAGGAAGGGAAGATATGGAAAAACCTTGAAAACCTTAGATGTCTAACAGTACACTTCTAAAGAAGAAATAAAGAGCTCAAAGTAAATAAAACGGCGCTCCAATATATTTTAATTGTCGTAGCGATCTTGGCACTTTTACGATTGGTGTCTCATGATAATTCACTCATGTAGTCTTTAGACTATCACATAATTTTTCATCACTTGTACGAACTGTTGCAAAAACTTCAAAATGAAATATTTCTTCTTGACTGGGAATTCACCTTTTCACTCGAGAGGGGATGGATTTTTCACTTGGCATGACTGTACTTCTTTTGTGCTACAATTGACTATTATTTAATGCTCGACGTTTTGACGGGCGAAAACAAAAGCATTCGACTCACTGAGTTAGTTAATAAGAAAATCGACGCGTTGACAGCTTACATGGACGAAAGCATAGCAACTAGAGGTTGAAGGTGATTCACCACCCAGACATTGGCTTGAAAACCGGCCACCAGTGTTTCTTTAATAATTTATTAAGTTCTTCGGTGTTGATCTTTTCCTATTGGGCCAAACAATATGCGAAATATATTAAAAGTGTTTTAAATCCATAAATTGTTCGTCATCTAATATCAGAGAAGAACTCACGCCAAGTCAGCGGAATTGAAAAGACGCCTTTGCAATATGAACAGCACCAGTGAAGAGTTTAACCAAGAAGAAAGGATCATTTTAGCAGCCTGGTTCAGTGTCACAGGTCTGGTGGCCGTAATTGGAAACACTGTTGTCTTATGGTTGATCGCCAGAAATCATTCCCTCAGAATAATTTCGAATTTTTTCATTGCTTCATTGGCTGTGGCGGACTTGTCGGTAGGACTTGTTATAAACCCTGTATGGGCAACGGCCAGGTGCATCAATTATGACGAAGACAGTTATCTGAAAACTTACGGTAAAGCTATTGATTATCTGTGGATACACACCACTGTAGCTACAACGTTCAACCTATGCTGCATTAGTCTGGATAGGTATATTGCCATCATTCATCCGCTCCGCTATCAAGAGCTTCTTACTAACACGAGAAGTTATCTTATCATAGCTTCTGTATGGGTCTTGTCGTTTCTTCTCCCCTGTTCAAGGTTTTTTGTGAGAGATGATTCCATTGAGTTGTGGTTGTCTTTTACAATCATGACAGTGTTAATTCCTATGATCGTCATTGTGTTCTGTTCCATTCGAATATTGAAAGCCTCTGCGACGCAGTCCAGGAGAATAAACGTTGTTACTTTACAGAATCAAGAATCCGTGAACAGACGAAAACAGAACTTAAAAGCTGCTAAAACAGTTAGTATTGTGGTGGGGCTATTCGTTGTTTGCTGGCTGCCGAGTCTAGTGACTTCTTTCACTTAATATCTGAGCAAAAATGGGGTTTACTCCACCATGTATCATAAGGTTTGGACGACTGTTGAGGCAGTAGCCTTTACTTCCGCGGCAATCGACCCGTGGGTTTATTGTTTGCGAAACAGCAGATTCTATGAAGCATTTAATCGCACTTTTTAAGTTCGCAGAAGACAAGTTATGGTGTAAACTTACTTTCGTCGTTCAACTGACAGAAAAGCACTCGTAGAAACGAATAACCACTAGCTTAACATTTGTTAGTGAAGAAAAGTTAAAGGGATATCATATTTTATTACGGGCAGACCACTTTTATTTTCCCTAAACGACGAACAGTAAGGATTTTCAGACCAGAAACTCATGGATTAAAACATGAATAAAGCCGACTCAAATTGTGTCAGAATTTTCCGGAACCAGATAATGCAAATTTAGATCTTTGTAAAGAGTGTTATAGACAATATATACGTTATAAATGTAAATATTTCATTGAATTTACCTTTAAAATATTTACTACAGTATATGGTGTGCTTCTTTGATATCGAGAAAATTTCTAATTTCGAGGCATTAATGTGACTGACTAATATGCACTGATAAATCTTTAAAAGGGGAGTGTTAGCGACTATTGAATCTTAATACAATTGGCAAACATAAATTCGAGTGATTCATCAGAGCCGGCTGTATTTCAAATTTACTTAATTCACACGCAAATAAGTGTTCTATGAGGAATTGGAAATAGGTTTGAATGACATCGAATATATGTGAGGCACATTAGTTGCTGTACGAGCGTATTTGGCGAGTAGCAAAAAAACAAGTTATGCTTGGAAACAGCGAAGATTTTTCTATGCAATAGCAGTGATCAATTATATTGGAAAAAGCTGACATCTCCATGATTTGAGTTATCTTCGAATAGATGAGTTTGACGTAGTTTTTAACATGTTGGGGTTATACAGTGTTGTTCACAAGTAATGTAAACTTTCATTGGCCAATAACGCTCCTTATTTTTCCGATGTATCGACGATGAATTGCGCATTTTATGGAAGCATTAGAACAGTTAATAGACCAGACATCGGAGCTTTCTTATTTTGAATGACGGATGCGAGGCGATATATCGCTCTTGAGATTACAAAGCTTTCAAGAAGTGGATGACCACTTTTTAAATTGAAAGGTTTTTAGATGTCAAAGATTAAAAAACTTAATCGCCACTCAAGTTAATGGCATTTGGAGATTGGTATACTTTATTTTCTCCCCTAGTTTATTTCCTCTTGTATAAAGTTGAACAATTGAGTTTGAACTCTGATCGCCAGCGAAGCACTTAAGGTAATCAGAGGCGTGTTAAAACCAATTTTCGCTCTTGATTGAAAATTCCTAGTTTTAAAACATAATTTTGATGTGTTTTGAAACAATCTTTTTTTTATGATCCGGAGAAATCTTGAATTTAATTTAGCCGCCATCAAACTATGCTTTATTATACAAAAAAAATTCAACTCCTCTGCTGAGTTCATTTTACAATAACTGAAACAGCGAACGTTTCTTACTGGGTGAAAGCGGGCAGTAATCTTTTTCGAGTGAGTAGAATTGATGATGAATTTGAGTGAACGGACAAACCAAATTATGTACGGCTGTCCAAGATTCTGGCATAATAACCAATATTTCCCCGGCCTTCTTAAATTTTTGGTGATTATCTCCAGCCTTCTATCTTTTACAACAGCCCTAACGAATATTTCGATTCTGTTCGCTCTTCCTGAGGTAACATCTGTTCACCCGCCATCGAAACCTCTACTTCGCTCTCTGACTATGACTGACTTCGGGTCTAGCCTTATCGCACAGCCATTAGCAATAACTATGATCTTGTCTTCCTTAAAAGGAACTGGAATCTCTGTGATGTTACAATTCTCAGCCTTTATTGCATCTACAATTTTCTCCGGTGTATCTCTGTCGCAATTGACCACCATTAGTTTGGACAGACTCCTGGCTCTTTTGTTGGGGATAAGGTACAGACATGTGGTAACTTTCAGGCGAGTTCGTGCGGTCGTCTTTTTTCATCATGGTTAAAGGCCAGTTTTGTCGGATTCCTCTACGTTTTGAATCCAAGAGTTTACTTCATCGTAAGAGGTGTGCTTGGAACATTGAATTTGATCGTCTAAAGTTACTGCTACACCATTCGACGTTACCAAAGAGAGGTAAAGGATAGTTTGGGAGATCAAACAACAGAGAGCGCTCCACCCAATATGGTTGTGTATAAAAAATCGGTTAGGAATACACTGTGGATTCACTCTACATTAGTGACATGTTATTTACCCCACCTTGTCGTATCTGCTGTAATGCTCAAGTACAACCCAGCCTTTCAATTTTAATCTCCCAAAGATTGACTGCTAATCTAATCAACCCAAATTCCTTTTGAATCCAGTTTTTTACTGCTGGAAAATCAAAGAAATTCGATACGCGGTAAAAAAAACGTTTCAAAAACTTTCTGCCTTTTCTTCTAGTTGAACAAGCACAGATAAACGAGGTTGAGTATTTTTAAATTTCATTTTTTGACTCGTTCTGATCCATGGCAGTAGCATATCGACAAAACTTGCGCATTGAAGGTCATAATGTACAGTTTTGATGATTTTTCTTCTTTTATTTTTTAATCGTACATACATGTGAAGAAGTCTTAAAAATTACCTGGAAATTATTGTCTCGCGATGACCAAAGCATAAATGAAACATAATAAATGGTTAAGTAAGGTAAAGACTTGGCGCAAGCTGTGCATAGTGCAATAATAGGCTCAAGTGAGAGAGAAGGAAATCCAATTTGCAACTCTCCCTCTACTTGCTATGCAGTTCGTTGCACGAAAGTTCAGCCGGAAAACTTAGTGATATGTCATCTTCAAACTTAATTGTCGGAAAGCTGATAAGTTTTTCTATTTCCTCATTATGTCTGCAACATAAGGTTTGGGAATTACAATGTTAAATTTCGTGATAAAACAACTAGAGCGTCTCTCGAAGAGAAGTTCACTTAAAAAGTCAATTCCACCCGAATATAAAGTTCACTGTTGAACTTTGCTTTGCACAACAAATGAGTAAAGGAGGTAAAGTTCTGAAACAAAACTGTGGTGCGAAGTGAGGCTCACTCGATTGAAACAATAAAACAAGGTCTTTCTAGGGAAACTTTCCCACTTGAAAAAAATTAAACTTAACCCTATTAATGTTGATTAACTAATAAATGCCCTTCATGAAAATCAATTCGGACATGTTTATCGAACTTTGGTTACCACGGCGACTATATTTTTTCATTCACGAGGATATGGATGATATGTTCAGTTCTCGCGTTTAAATTAAGATGCTTTTCAAAACAGAAAAACCTTGCTTTTCATTAATATCTCTATGATAAATTTTGGGCTTTGTCTCACACTGTGGCCTAGAGGGGTGAAAAGGCAAGTTTCTGTATAACTTTACGGCCACTAGTTGAGCATCACTTGAGGCGCGTAAAGTAGACTTTTTTATCACCATGATGACGCAAAACGTTGAAAAAAGCTGTCTTCTTTCAGCTTTATCGTGGCTCTAAGAAACAATAGATTACATGCAGTTTCATACCACGTCGATGTGTTATTGCATTATTCGGTGACAGAATGAAGTGGTCCTCATATTTTCCATTATCGCGGAGGAAACCAATTGAAAGAGATAATTGAATAGATTCTTAATTGCTGGATGGAATATCAATTCTACCTCAGATTTTTCAAGGCTAGATGAAACGATTGTTTTCAATATCATGTCGCTCTAACAATTTTAACAATAAACGCGATTTCAGGAGCATATTGTTAGCACAATAGTAATGAATAGAGATATAATTTCTTTGAAAATTAATATCATTGGTTTTAAGTTTTTAAGACACTTAGAAAAGTACAAGAGATCTGAAAAAAAAACACATTTCTTATTAAGACTGATATGTCTCTTTTTCCCTTTTTTTTTCCTGGTGAGCCGGTTACCTCAGGGGAAAATTAGAGAGACCTTTGACTTCCTCTCGTGTAAATCACTGGGAGATTACGTTATATTGATCTTTCTTTAAGCTTGTAAAAGATATGCGGGAGAAAAGTAGGGAAAATAATGGTGATGAAATCGCTGTTCTTTTTCCTGAAGGACATGAAGCAATCCAGATTACATATTAACCATGGGAAGTTTCGTTCAAGTGACAAGTTGCGATTTGAGTGTGGATAATAAATTAAAAATAAAAGCTAAGTTTTTCGTTTGTCTCACGATGTAGTCATGTGTGATGTAGATCGCGACGTTTCGACTACATACTGCTAGTCTTCTTCAGGCGATGAGGTCGACTGGCCTGCGTGATATTATAAAGCATGATGCTCTGCTTTGATTAGTTGTTCTTCAACAGCTCTGATTGGTGCATTTCGATCCTTGCTGATCAGGGATTTGCTCCCTCGGCGGTCCGCTGTCACACGGCTCTCCTGTTGTTGTGTTTTTTGATCGTGGGCATCCACGCTTCCGGAATTTCTATTCCCCTATCCCTGTTAATGTTGTTAGGGTGAAGTCTTCTGTGAATTGCCTCTTTGACCTTGCGCGTGTAGTTATAAGGGTCACGATCAATAAACTTTACTTCGTTCCAGAGTGGCTTGTGTCCGGTGTTGTGGGCATGCTCTGAAACGGCGGAGGTCTCCGTACGGGCGAGTCGAATGCCTCGATCGTTAGCTTTTATTGTTATTCACCACGATGAATAACCACAACCTTTTCTACGGATAAAAAGTTGTTTGAAAGGTGGAATTATGACATTATGATTTCATTAAATCTTTTATTTCGCACTTTGTTATAATTTTTTCTTTATCAAGACATGGAAGGAAACATTGATTGACTTGATAGCACTGCGGCGGTGATAAGTCTCTCCTCGTCATATCTTATGCAAATTTTCTAACAGTTTTCTGACAGTTTCAGATTATTTGAAATATTTTAGTTCCTGTAACAAGGAAACGATAACTGCCCGAATCTGCTGTTTGTCAGGAGATGCCTATGTCGTTCAAATTGCTATTATTGCAACTGGGTTTTACATGTGGTACTGCCACTGACAAGTTACGATTTATACTCTTAGATTCTCAGTGTTTACGAGCGTTTAATCAAGGTTTTCCTCTTTTTTTTTTTTTCGGTTGTTTTTACCTCAGAAAGCGGAAATCTTCTGACGTATATGAAAAATATCAATTTCCTGTCTTCTTTGGAGCGACCGATGGAAACTCATGGAGAAATACAGCGTCACGCAATCGTGATAACGTACATGTTTATGACAAATGACCGGTGTAAGGATACTTTCGTGTAGATCAGCCGACTCCAACATGTTTCAAATGACATACAAGTATATCAGTGTATCTTCAGAGGACTTCGGGTTGCTCAAATTCCCATGAAAGAAGGTGCAGCACTCGGATTCTGGATGATATGCACACGATTTGAGGTATATGTTTGTGGTTACGTCGAGTAGTCCTTCATGAAGGTTGAACAATTTTTTTTAAAAGATGACAACCAGAGGCGAGATTTCTCTTCGGGATATTCCTCATAAGATAACATTCTTCCAAAGCCTCGCACGTTTCATTTGTCTGAAACATTTGTTGTTGAGAACATTAGATGTAAACATCGCCAAATTATGCAATATCTGATTTTGAGCTTTTTTCGCCCCTATAAAAAGTAGAGGCAGGCCTGCAGAGATTTTTACATATTTAAAAAATAGATTATTATAACCAGCTAGGTGGGTAGTTTCAGTTCCAAAATCGGTGTACTTTTGGAAAAATTCAGATAAAGATTTTCCCTGTTTTACCCGACAACAAAAATGACCGAAACTGTACCGAGATGAATAGTCTACTGGTGTGTTCACATTCATTCTCAGAGAAAATTGAATAAATCAAAGTGAAGATGAATGATGTCACTATGTATGGTAGAAGTGCCAATTTGTAATGTTGTATTTAGCTCGAGATAGAGAAATAAACATTTCACTCTTTTTTTGCGACGTTTTTGTATGAAAATGAGGCCCCAGGCCTCGAACAAGTAGCCGTTGTTACCATCATGGCAACAAGAGTGCTGCGACCTTCAAAAAGGGTATTTTTGTGCGTCCCACCTGAGTGCCTAACTGCATACAAAATTTGAAGGGGGGCTGAAAATTTTCATTTCCCAAGATGTTTGATTATTACAGAGACTCGTTCTTAAAGGGTTTCAGTTCATCATCTGGGTGTACCAGCTGATCCAACACACACTGTCTTTCTCCCTTCTTTCGTAAAAACGAAAAACGCGTGTAGCGGGATGCATGGAGACTACATGGTATTTGGTACATGTTGCATGTCATCCTGGACTTAGTCTTTAATGGCTAAGGTGCATACATTGCGACAAAAGCCTCTGGACTTTTATTGTTACTTTTTAAGTGTGCACATCTAGTAGGTCTCTGTGTTATGTAAAGTTTTATCTCTTGAAATCTAATATGCATGTAAGAAAACTGTGTAAATTTTAGGGCAAGAGAATTAATATTCTCTTGTTTTAAGTACCACTTTTAAAAGCATTTTGACCCTTATCGCGCCTCGCAGAGATAAGAGTCTTTATCCTGCATCAAACCTACTTCTTTGTAATCTTTCGGTCATTGACCATGGAGCTGGTTTTATTTCACATCCACTATCAACTGCTTTTTATCGCACAGCAATAAGCCAAAGCAGCTGGGAACACTGTGAAATGTGATAATACTCAGCCTTACTTCTAGCTGCTATCTTCTCCGGTATCTTTATCTACGCGAACGGCCATTTCAGGATCGACTTTTGGCTCTGTTGTTAGGAACACGATATCGACATGTTGTAACTGTAAAGCGAGCTCGTATTGCCGTCTCTCTAACATGTCTAATCTGGGTCCAAAATATCTTAATGGGTGCCGTTTCGTTGTGGAACAAGAAGGCATTCTTTATTATATCTTGTGTATCAATTGTTTTAAAGAAGCCTATCTCAACTAATTCCTAGCCAATAATCTTTCACTTTATTTGGCATCGACGAAAGGTCGTGCAAGGAGCAGATGCTACGCTAACAATGGCGCGATACAAAA